GAAAAGAAAGATGAACTTAGAAGAAGATATGGAGTCAAGAAATGATGATTATTCAGGCTGCAAGCTAGCACTGCATGTCAGCATGCCCATGCGAATGATCCAGTCCAGACAGTGGCTGTTCCTCTCTTTGTTGGCCTCTTCTCTGTCCTCACTGGGTGACTCAGTGCAGAGAGGACTGCATGGGTACAGCTGCACCCATGTGCTCAGAGTAACTCACTTCCTCCACTTAGAGTTGTATGTGACCTTCAAGATGGGCAGCCTCTGAGCATTTCCTCACCAGGACAATGGATTTCAGCCCTCACTGCCCCAGAGGGTTGCGGGTAGTAGAGGGAATGCTCACCAAGTGCTGAGCACAGTGCTTAGCGCAGGGTAGAGTCTCAACATTACGGAAATACACAAGGGCCTCATTCTGGTTTTCTAGGTTTCCACATCAAGGCAGATGACCTTTACCATTTCAACATATGCTAACCACATACAGACAGCAGACTGTCTCTACAGAGTTCACAAAAAGTCAAAATGTTTTTGATGGCAGCTGGACCAAGATAAGTGTATATAATTAGCCTAGGGTGAGTCCTCCTGGAAGCAGAGGGTGATGGTAGGGTCCTGACTGAGATGTGACTACGATTGCCCGGTTTGGTAAAGCAACAGGAGAAAATTAGTTTGAGATTAAGGGAGAGGGCTCAGAGAACAATTAGAGGAGAAGAAAGGCCACTCAACAAACCTGGGGAAGAACTGGATGTGACAGCCCTTGGTCTCCAGTACCCAGCACAGCTGGCAAAGCTCTCAGCAGGACACCAGAGACCTATATATAGGGCTGTTTGCAGAGGAGAGAAGGCACCCTTGGATGTGCACTGCAAGAGTTCCCACCCTCGGATAGGCAGTGGGACTCAAGCGGCTGCTTACGATCCTCAGGAAGAAGGCAGTGGCTAAATGCAGTAAATGGGATGATGTGGACTATTATGGGATTCCAGATCAGGGCCCGAGCAGGTCGAATAGTTGGCTGCATTGCTTTCTGTGTGGCCTGAGACAAGTCATCTCTGTCCTGAGCCTGTGGTTGCACAGGAATCTCAGACCAAGTTGGGGGTCGTAAGACCAGCACCCCTTCTGAGATTCAGAGTTTCTCACAGTGGCTGCAGAGAAGGTGCTGGATTGGATCAGGAGGAGGCAAGAAGTTTAATCCTCATAAGAGTCAGTGAGCAACACTATCCAGGCCAGCTCTCGGCCAGGCACAGTTGCTGAGGAAGTAGTAAGAAGGCACCCAAGGGGGAGGCCAGGCCCTGGGGGAGCCTCTCTGGGACAGCTTTCCTTAGGCAGAGTTCTTCTGACATTTTTTTTTGTGTTCCAGCAGCAATTTTCACCTAGTATTTGATCCTTGTAAACTCCCTCATCAACCAGGCAGGACAAGTGATGTTATTCCTATTTTTCAGAGAAGCTGAGGGATTTGTCTAATGTCACACAGCTTTTCAATGATGGAGATAAAACTAGAACTCTTGGCTTCCTGTAATCTAAGTGAAAGCACTTTTTAAATAGTTTTTTGGCATGTGCCACCCCAGGGCAGTTTCAGTTAGCTCTCATGGGAGGCTGGAGTGGGAAGAGTCCCTTCCTGCTCTCCTTGCATGCCTGGGAGTCACTCACTGCAGAAGCCACCAAGAGTGGCAGGTGCCCAGGCTGGAAAAGCTATGCCTTTTAGGATGTGCCACTCCAGAAGCAGGACCTGAATTCCAGAAGGCTTTGGAGCATTGATGAGGGAAGTCCACTAAAGTAGGAGAGGACATTCTAATAGAACAGACACAAAACCTTATATGAGCTGGATGCAGTGGGGCCTGTGAGCCCAGTGGCTTGGGAGGCTGAGGCAGGAAGATGGCAAGTTCAAAGCCAGCCTGAGCAACTTAGCAAGGACCTAAGCAACTTAGTGAGATCCTATTCAAAATAAAATTTTAAAAGGGCTGAGGATGTGGCTCAGTAGCTAAGCAACCCTGGGCTTAATCTCTAATACCAAAAAAGAGAGAGAGAGAGAGAGAGCTTCCAAGAAAGATATGTCGACCAGGAGGTTCAGGGAGGAGGAGTGTCCTGCTGCCTCTAGGACCTCGCAGTTGTGACACCTTGGCCCTCAACAGTGACTGTCTTCCCCTCTTGGCTCTTAGCTCTCTCACTTGTCAGTAGAGGAGGTTGCAGCTCGTGGTCTTGAGGACCCGGGTGTCACTGACACTCCATTTCTGTGTGGCCTTGAGGTTCCACAGTTTAAATACCTGACCCTGAGAGGCCAGTTTAAAGAGAGAGGACCCCACCTGTGGGAATGTCATGTGCCAAGTAGCTGCCCTCCCCTTCCCATGCCTTCCCCCAAGGGTCACTTACCTTATTCAACCATCACAACTCCATGGTAGAGGTCCATTTAGAGGTAAGGGTACTAGGCTCCACAGCACAGGTCATCTGTGAGGGGCATCTTGTGACTGCCTGCCCCTCCCAATCTGAAGCTAGCCCCTCTCTGTGAGAGGCAGAAGGGGAAGCAGGGCCACACACCTGCAAGGAGAAGCCGTCCCTCCTGCTTCCCTCCCTCCACCTCAGCCTCTGTAACTTGTCGGAGGTCAGCCTGCCTGGAAGGGTTAGAGGAACCAAGGCACAAGAAATGCCAGTCTCTGGCTTTCACTGCCTCCCCAGGGGTCCTGGGTTTTGTCTCCTTCCCCATGGGGGCTCTCGCCACACCCCCTGTTCCCCTGGATCCTACTCTCTTGTCATTGAGAAAGAGCAATTTGAACTCAGGACTGACTTTTCTGCCACCATTCTGCACCCTATTGGCATTTGGGGATCTGAGGGCCATCCCAGGAAGCAGTTCTGTGAGTATACAGACCCCATGTGGCTCAGAACTTCCTGACAAGGGGACCTAAGAAGGACCCAGTGTGTGGCACTGTGGGCCAAACCACGCCCACCTCTGACCCCTCAGAGGGCCGACCACTCACCCAGCTCCCTGGAGCTGCAGGCCATACCAGGGGCCCACGCCCTGGGCGGGCACACAGGATTGCCATTGTGTGCTCAGTGCCTGGCACCCTCTCAGTTTGCATAGCCACGTGAAGAATGCGAGGGAGCAGGCTGGGGACTGGTTCCTGCAGAGGCGGCTGCAGGTCTGGGGGAGGAAGCTGGCCAGAGTCAGGGTCGCAGCAGGTCCCTGCCTCCCCCATGCAGTCCCCCAAGGGCTGGTGGGCTACAGGATACAGGGGGCAGCCGAGGGGCGAGGGGCGGTGGGAGCGGGAGCAGGGGTGTGACATTCCTGCTGCACCCACACCAAGCCCGTGGGGCTGAAATGAACGTGAGGGGATTGCTAATGAGGTGGAGGAGAGTTAAACATTCCCCTGCTCCTGAGGGCCGCGCTCGAACTGGAGAGAGAAGGGGGAGCAGGGGTCCAGGAGGGGGCAGCCTGAACCCCAGGAATGTGCAGAAGCCACTGTTCCCGTCAGGCTGTTCTGGAGCTGGGGGCCAGGGCCTGCTGTCCCAGGTCCCAGCAGGAGCTGCTAAACTAGCCAGCAAGGGGATTAACGGGTTGAGCAATCCACCTTCCTTCAGGCCCATGCCAGAAGGCTGACTGGTACTGTCTCCCCAGCTCCCCGCCAGGCCCCTTGCTGGCCTGCAGCCAGCTCTGGCCCAGCCTCAATAGGGCCCCTCTCTGACCCTTTGGATCTCAAACAAGACCTCACAGTACATATTCCTTGGTTTGGCTTACCCTATTTTGGATGCACATAGCTCCCAGGTACCCAGGACCCTCCTCCCCAATACCCCATTCCCGGTCTAGTTTCTAACATCTGGTCTCCGAGTTCTTGCCAGAAAGTTCTCCTTGGTGTCTAAGTTTCACCTGCTGCAAGTTGGAATTCCTTTTCCTTTTCATCCTCAAGTCAGAGGGCAGGCAACCCCCAGGATTAGATCTGCCTTGCAAGAGCTAAGTCCATCATCTCGGGGCGGATGAGATGATTATGGGAATTTTAGGGCTCTTGAATCAGGCTCCTAAAGGGGCTTCCCTGGGCAGAAAGACCTGGGGAGAGAGAGGATCACACCTCCCAATTCCTCCCTTCTCTACCCCTGAAGGATGGGGAGGGGCAGGGTACCCACCTGATCCCTGGCCCCACCTCCCACCCCAGGGGGCTGGGCATGAGCTTTGCTGGGGACCCTGTGCTGGCTCAGGCTGCAGCTGTGGGCGGGCCTCTGGCCTCTGCCAGCCTGGGTGCCTCCCCCTGCATTCTGAAGTCCAGAGCCACTGCCTTTGCTGCTGCCACAGCTGCCATCACCTCTCCTCCTCAGCCTCGGGCCACTCACTGCTTTTCCACCCCAGCTGCGACTCTCCTGGCCATGACCACACTGCCCCTAGGACCCTGACCCAACTCTGAGCCCTGGGACCCTTGGTCCCCTCCCCTGGGCCATGGCCAACTCAGGCCTCCAGCTCCTGGGCTACTTCCTGGCCCTGGGTGGCTGGGTGGGCATCATCGCCAGCACAGCCCTGCCGCAGTGGAAGCAGTCCTCCTATGCAGGTGACGCCATCATCACCGCTGTGGGCCTCTACGAAGGACTCTGGATGTCCTGCGCCTCCCAGAGCACTGGGCAGGTGCAGTGCAAACTCTATGACTCGCTGCTTGCCCTGGACGGTAGGCCCCGGGCCTGTGGGGCTGGGAGGCGGGGTGTGGGGTTGGGGAGGTCCACAGCACGCTTTCTCACAGTCTGCTCAGTGCTGAGTGCCACACTCCAGCCCCTGCAGATCCCCCACTCCAGCCCGTGCACATTTAAGAATCCAGGCCAACCTTGGCCCCTTGGGAGGCAGGGGCTCTAGGGTCCACCGTCTGGGGTCCAGATCCCATAACCTTGACAACCACTGAAACTTTTGCATCTGAGGTCCTCACCGTAGAGGGGAACTCTCACACTCTATAGGATAAGGGAGGTCGAATGGGATGAGGGCTCCGTGGACAGCTGAGCAGAGGTGCCATCAACTGTCCACACGGTGCCAGTCCAGGCAGGTTGTAGGCTTCCCTCAGGGACTCAGGTCTCCTGAGCTGGCCTGGGGCCCAGGCTGACATGCATACCCATGGAGAGGCGGGCATATAGCTACTACGGGTGATTCACAGGCAGAGGGGAAAGTGACCAGAGTCAGAATGGCTGACAGGGGTGACGGTTGCTGCTGGGGGCCAGGCTGAGCTGAGCTGGGCCTCTGACACCCTCAGCTCTTCCTTCTCTGCTTGGGAGGATGAACCAGGCCCAAGAGAAGGCAGCAGGAAAGTGCCAGGGGAAGTGGGAAATGGGATCAACGGTGAAGGGGACTCCCAACCCCACATCCTATTGTCACATCCCCACTGTCCTCTCTGTCTCACCTGTGGGCAGATGATCTACCTGCAGGCCCCACCTCTCCCCCAACCCCCATTCAGCTCCATCCTGGCCCTGCCCCAGGTCACATCCAGTCAGCGAGAGCCCTGATGGTGGTGGCTGTACTCCTGGGCTTTGTGGCCATGGTCCTCAGCGTCATTGGCATGAAGTGTACACGGGTCGGAGACAGCAACCCCATTGCCAAAGGCCGGGTAGCCATCTCCGGGGGTGCTCTCTTCATCCTGGCAGGTGAGTGCCCTTTTCACCTTCTTGGCCATGGCAGATAGCCCTAGCCTCAGTGGCTGACCAGGGGTCCACAGAACTGACCCACCTCCCTGCTTTGCCCCCAGGCCTGTGCACCTTGACTGCTGTCTCATGGTATGCCACCCTGGTGACTCAGGAGTTCTTCAACCCAAGCACACCTGTCAATGCCAGGTGAGTGCCAAGGCTGGGGCTCCCACTTCACCTCCTCTGGGGCCAATGGCCTTGCCTCCAGAGGTTACCTGGAGGGGGACATAAGGAATGGGTCCCAGCTGCTGTCTGGAGTGGAAAGCCAGACCAGTGCCCTTGGTAGGGACAGGAGGCCAGCTGAGGGTGCCCAGACTCAGCAAGGACTCTCCAAGCAGCTAAGTGCCCTGGCTCCGGGTTCTAATAGCTCTGAATGTTCTGGTGGGGTGACCTGCGAAAGTTATTGAATCTTTCCACACCTGCCTTCTTCTATAAACTGGAGCCAGAACCTAAGGACCAGCTTTTGCTGGTGAGAGTCCCCAAGACAATGCAGGTAAGGAATTCCACACGGTGCCTGGTTCCAGAGAGTGCTCAGTATATTCAATACAACTGGTGGCAGCAGGCTGAGGTGGCTTCCTGCAGGGGCAGCAGGTATTGGGATCCAGGGAAATGAGACTGGAGAAAAGGACAGATGGGGTAGGGCCTGGCTGCCATCGGAAGATTGTGCTCCTCATCCTGGAGTAGAAGGCAACGACAGTGGCTCTGCCGTAGAGTGTGGAAGAGGAGAAGAAGGCAAGACATTATGGTGGCTGCTGCAAAGTCAAGCAGAGGGCTCTGGGCCAGGGAGGAAGCAGTGGAAAGCAGGCTCAGAGACATCTGGAGACTAGAATGGTGGGAACCTCCAAGGCCCGTCCTACCTTCTCCACACTTCTCAGCCCAGCTGGGAGCAAGAACAGGGTCCCAACAGGCCTGGGGATGAGGGAGGATGAAAAAGGACGCCTGGGCTGTCATGTTTGGAAGAGGCAGAGAGGTGGGGAGGATGAAAAGCAGACTTCAGGGGTGAGGCTTGTTTCCTGAGCTGTCAATTACAGCCACAAAGATCCGCCAAGCAAGGCCTAGCTCAAGGAGCCGAACTAGAACTTGGCCCTTCATCCCTTCAACAGTCCTAAGGCTCCAGATTTGCCAGGCCTTGTGCTGAGCCCTGTCTGCCCTCTGCGTGCTCCAGGGACTGGAGGATCTCCTGCTGAGGGGGTGGGAAGGGTGGAATGAGAACAGAGGGGCATCAGAAAACCCCCTGTGAGGAGGTGGCATGTGAACTAGGACTCAAGGCGAGCCCCTGGGGAGGGCTGGGCTGACCAGCAGGCCTAGGTGCAGAGAGCCCAGTGAACAAGAGAGAAGAGGCTGGCCTTCTCCAGAAGGCAGTGGGGAGAGCCCTGGCTGGGAGCCCAGCAGGGAAAGAAGATGGCAGGGATCGCTCAGCTCCACCCAACCTCTAGGGCCCTCCCATACCCCCTCCACTGGCCAGACGAGGAATTGAGCCCGAGTTGCTCAGAGCAGGGGCTCTAGGCTAACCCTTGAGACTGGAGGCCAACCCTAGGCCTGGTTGGCCAGTGTGGTGTCATAGGCCGGGTGGGGCGAGGGAGGAAGCACAGTATTGTGAGCCCAACCTCCAGCTCCCCTCTCCCTGGTTTCTGCTGGTTTCTGGCTGAGGAGTAGGACCCTGAGAGGATGGGGTGAGGCAGGGCTAGGGCTTGTGACCACACCTAATGCCACTCTCCATCCCACTTGCAGGTATGAATTTGGCCCGGCTCTGTTCGTAGGCTGGGCCTCAGCTGGCCTGGCCATGCTGGGGGGCTCATTCCTCTGCTGCACATGCCCAGAGCCCGAGAGAGCCAACAGCAGCCCCCAGCCCTATCGCCCTGGACCCTCAACTGCTGCCCGAGAGTACGTCTGAATCCTGCCCATCCCGACCAGCCTTCCCACCTAGTGGCCCCCTCGCCCGACACTGCAGCCAGTCCCTGAAGCAACCTGGGCAGGGCCAGTAGGGCACACCAGGTCTCCCAAGCTCGGTCTGGGGCTTTGAGCACCTGATCCTCAACACATGTCTAGGTCTGGGCCTCTTCTAGTCACCCAGCTTGGATGCCCAGGTGGATCGTCAGCTCAGATCCCGTTGCCCCTGCCCCGGGGAATGGGCTCAGGCAGGGCTGCTGTGAAGGCCAAGGTCCTACCCCACTGGCCAGGCCTGTGTCTAGGACTGACCTCCACAGACCCTGCCTCCCTCAGTGTTGCTCACCCCACTAACCGACTCTCTCTCTTTTGACTTTCAGACCTGTTGTTAAATTGCCCGCCTCCACCAAGGGTCCCCTGGGTGTGTAATGTCCAGGTCCCCAGCCAGGCCCTGTCCCCTGCCACACTAAGACTGTATGTTTGGTATTTTTTGGAAACAGAAATGAATATTCAGCCCCAAGTGTGATTCATTTGATCTGTCTGGGCATGGTTATGGCGGGGTCAGGCTCAGAGAGGTCAGAGCAGTCCCCCGGGGCTCCTGAGTGCATTACACGACACATGAAGGTGGAGCGGGAAAGAACCTGGGGTCCTGCCCCTGCCTAGTAACGCTCCCATCCTGGCCGTAGGCTTGGCCCAGGACATCCATGAGGAAGGTCCCACCCACCGCTAGAGGCTATCCCTGAGACCTGGCCCAGCACTGGAGCAGGCCCGGGGGGTCAGGAAGCCCCTGGAGTAGGGAGGGACCCACAAGTAACCCCAGACCCTGTGGGCTCTCTCAGGGAAGAGTCCCATGAGGTCCCCCAGCTGGAAGCTGGATCAGAGCTGGGTGAGGAGACATGTAGGAGCGCCCTCAGCAGAAGGGAACAGAAGGGCATTAGGACTGTCCTCAGCAAGGTCTGAAAGCACTAGCTCAGCTCCCACCCACATCCTACAATGGAGACTGGCAAAGCTCCATCCTGCACCTAGATGTGTCACTTGGAAGGGCTTATGGCCTGGAAGTGTGGGTATCACCCCCTTATACTGAAGGGTCGTGAAGTCCCAGAGGAACACAGGAGAGCCAGCCCTTAGAGTCCCAAGGTCAGCCATCATCCTTCAGCCTGTCTCCCCATGCAGAGTGCACAGGTCCTACCCTCATGCTCAGGTCTTTGCCACCCAGACACCTTCCGTGGACTCTGGGTCTCTCCCGTGTCCCACCTCCACCCTCTCCCACAGGCATGGCGACCTCCCGTGAAGAGGTGCCCATCACTGCTTCTTTTGCCCCTGCCTTACTCAGCCAGCCCTGCCTGGTGACCTCTACCACCTATCTGTGACATCTCCCACTAATTCACCAAATACCAAGAATGGCACAGCTTCTCCCTTGCACTGAACTCTGTGAGGTGAAGTGACCAAATCAGTCAAGATGACTGTCACACTGCAGCTAAGGACGGGGGAGGGGGGAGTCAGTGGCAGGGAGCTGTCATAAGTTGCCCCCACCTGGTCTGGAAGCTGCTGCACATCTGTCAGGCCTCCAGCCACAAGGGCAGCCTCCTAACCCTGAACAGGCTTCCCAGTAAAAGCAGTGGAAGAGTGGGTGCCTGAAGCCGTAATCCTGGGGCTCCCGACAGTGGGTGCACATTCAAGGCAGCTGGGGGTTGATTCTCAGGCTCCGCCCCCGAGACATCCCGATGGTCTGGGTGGACCTGGACATCAGAACTGTGTAGCTACTCCACACTGAGAGCACCTCTATGAGACCTAAGTGAAGGTCATTCTGAGGGGTCTGCAGAGGGACAAGGAGCCTCCAAGTAGAGGGAGGAGAGGGAGAGGAGGCCCCATCTCCCTCCGACCTTTCTGAAGACCAGGGCACAGAGGACACATCCACATCCTTCTGATCACATCCTTTGTGCTGAAACGATTTTGAGTTTGACTCCTGTTGCACACAGTCCAAAGAGCCCTATCTAACACAGAATTGGAACCTGGGAACTGAGCATCATGGGATACCAGCTGAGTAGGGCTGGGATTGTCCCCTTCCTAGTCCATGTATTTAGTAGTCCTTGCTATATGATTGTAAAACTGACCAGGAAAACTTATGTCATCTCTTGAGATTCAGAGGGCACCGGAGGCTTGGGAGAATGTCGAGATGGCATGTGCTGGTTTCAGGGGCAGGCTATGAGAGAGAAGCACCATGCAGACAGGGGACCTGACATCAGAGTCAAAAAACTTCAGTCTGTTCTCCGTTGAAAGGAGCCCTTTCTGCCGGAAGCCAGGGATTGGAGGGGCGGCATGCCAGGTACTCACCTCTCTGAATTGCACAACCGTTAATATACTGATTAAAAATGCATCAGACCCTGGCAGTGGGAAAGAGATGGCTGGGAGAACGAGAGGATTTTCTAGTCTCTCTGAAAGAATGTGGGGAGCCTCATCCCAAAGGCCTCTCTGAAGCAACCCTATTCAAATGCCTACATCAAGGTCACCTGGGCTGCCAACAAGAGGTAGGGCCAACTTTCCAGGCCTCGTGGCCAGCCTGTTGTTTACTGTCCTGTTCTCAAGGCTAAGGGATGGGGCAGAGAATCAAAGAGGTAAGGTTCAGACTCAAAAGGCTGGATACTAAAGCTTTTGCCATTGTTTGTTAATTAATAGAGTCCCCCAAGAAAGGAATTAGAGACCATAAAACTTGATTTTAGGAGGAAACAGGTACTCAGTCCTTAAGGAAAGCCCCTAGAAAGAAGCTTAATTGGAAAACATATATCTGCAAATATGACACATGAAACACTATTAAATGTATCAAAGAATTATTCCTTAATTTTGTGTGATGTATATTGCTAGGTTTGTGTGACGACACTGTGGGCTTACTTTTTATTTATTTATTTATTAGTTGTAGTTGGATACAATCCCTTTGGTTTTTATTTATTTATTTGTGGTGCTGAGGATCGAACCCAGTGACCAGCACATGCTAGGCGAGCTCTCCACCATTAAGTCACAAACCCAGCCCGGACACTGTAGTTTTAATTTTTTATACTCCAGGAGGGCTGGGGTTGTGGCTCAGTGGCAGAGCACTTGCCTAGCATGTGTGAGGCACTGGGTTTGATCCTCAATAACACACAAAAAAATAAATACATAAAGGTATTGTGTCCAACTACAACTAAAAATATATACATATACATATATATATATATGTATATATATATATGTGTATATTTTATACACACATATATAAATACTCCAGGAACAAGAAGTTCATGGGCAAGGAAAGCTTTAAAATGTTTGACAAATGTCAGTGGTATTTGGGGGTTCACCCTACACTTCTATTTGTATGTTTGTTTGCTACTGAAAGAAAAAATTCATAAAAAGTTTAAAAATACCACCAAGTTTTGCTGGTTGTATCATTTAATGTACTCCTTCTTACCAGGAGAATATGGTTGAGGAATACTCTTAAACTCTTGCTATTCAAAGCACAGCAGAATTGCATAACCTGGAAAATATGTTAGAAATGCAGAATCTTGCCAGGCATGGTGGCATATGCCTATGATCTCAGTGGCTCAGGAGGCTGATACAGGAGGATCTCAAGTTCAAGGTCAGCATCAGCAATTTAGTGAGGCCATAAACAATTTACTGAGACTCTGTCTCAAATTGAAAAGTAAATCTCAAACTGAAAGATAAAAAGAGCTGGGGATGTGGCTCAGTGAGAAAGCATGAGTGGCATGTGGGAGACCCTGAGTTCAATCCCTAGTAACACACACACAATGCAGAATCTTAGCCCCACAACCAGCCCTGGTGAGTCAGGCTCAGCATTTTATCAAGACCTACAGGTGGTTGGTGCACACACTTGTTTAAAAAAAAGTGCAGGCTAGTGAGGCACTTTTTTTTTTTTGGCGGGGGGCTGGGGTTTGAACCCAAGGTCTTGGGCCTTGAAATGAAAGCACTTTACCAATTTAACCATATCCCCAGCCTTGTGGTGCTTTTTTTTTTTTTTTTTTTTTTTTTTTTGAAAGAGAGGAGAGAGAGAGAAAATTTTTTTAATATTTATTTTTTAGTTTTCGGCAGACACAACATCTTTGTTTGTATGTGGTGCTGAGGATCGAACTGATAGACCCAACCTGATCTTTTCTTAAATTTGGGCATCTCGCCACAAAACCATGAAAAGATAATTTCGGCTTTACTATAAATTACTGCAAATTCTGAACCTACTTGGAATGCCTGCCCGTGCCCTGAACTCACCCATGTCCGGTTTTCCCTGACCAGATAACAACCCTTTCCTAAACCTTAGTGACGCCTCATAAATTCTGGCCTTCCCTGACCGGATAACAACCCTCTCCTAGTCTCTAAGATCTCCATAAATTCTGATGCCGGGGCCAGCAAAAATGTAAACTTGTGTTATGCTCCTCAGAGTGTTGTTTATCTGTAACCCCCCTTTGTGTAACTTTTTGGGCTATAAGACTGGGCCGCAAAGAAGCCTCGCCGCTGTCCTTGGCTCCCACGATTTTGATAGGCAAGGCAGCCCGGCCGGTCGAAATAATAAGCTTGCTTTAATTTGATTTTAATTGGAGTCAGTGGTCTTTACTTGCGTCGTGGTCTAACAGAACCCGGGCCGCACACATGCCAGGCGAGCGCGCTACCGCTTGAGCCACATCCCCAGCCCAAGGTGCTTCTTTTTAAAAAGAGAATTTCCTTTGAGCTTAGCCTGTTTTCCTCCACAGTTTGTTAGGTATGCTGAATGTGGTTCCTTGTATGATTTTGTCTACAGTTGGCCGCTTATCAGGAGCTACAGCTAAACCTGATCCAGGCAAAACTCAAAGAATTACACCAATCCTTCTGCTTTCTGACGTTTTCTTCTCATAAAAATATTTGATTCAGTGATTGAGAACATTGCAGACAGTTTTATTTATTTTAAACCCGCATGATGAAAACAGCTGAAAATAACTGGGTAAAGTATAAAAGTTTCTTCAAAGCATCAAAGGGGCTAAGATGCTACAGATCCCCAAGTCAAAACCCCAGGAGCTCCCCCTTCTCTCTCAGACATACAAAGGCTCTCAGGGTCTCCCTAATGCTGAGGGGTCCTTGGTTGGCATGGGCAGAGATCAGTGATATAAAAGGAAACTGAACAATTAGGAATGTACTGAAGATAATGGGAGTCAGGCTGTTCCCTGGCAAAGAGTAGATTTTCTACCCCCAGGAAGGCCCAGCATGGCCTAGGTGTGCCCAGCAGCAATGATACCCTGTGGCAATGGGCACACCTAGTCCATAGTTTGATTTCTTAATATTATTCTACACTAAAAGGTAGCAGGCTCCAAGAAGAAGTGGCTGACTCCAGGGGTAGGGCAGGGAAAGTACAAAACAAGCTTTGGGCAACTTGATGTTCCAGAACGAACTGCTCAAGAAAGAAACTGTTCAGGGATTGATGGAAACACGTACAAAGGATACAGAAGCAAGATTGAAGGTGCACCCACTGGCTTTGTCTGGGACAATTTGAGCATCAAAATAAATAATGAT